ATAGTATTATAAAGTTTAGGATAGAATATCATATTATGATCATAATATACCCACTAATAAAGAATTAAGTACATAATTTGATAATTCTATAGAATCTACTTGAATTAAAAATTTAGTCCACATGCAATTTTTATATCAATATATTCGAATTTAAACATAATTTACATTGGTAAAGCATAAAATTTAATTAAGTCTCAGTTTTAACATAAGCATATAATTTATGCAGCTACTCAACCTGCAAATTTTTCTGATATCCGTTGTGATGTTTCTCAAACTTATGGGTGATAATTATAAAGAATGGAATGATAGAATTTTACTCAATCTAGGGTGGATGGACATTGACTATGTAATTAGGAAAGACGAACCACCTGCAATTACTGGGACTAGCTCTCCAAATGAAATTGCTCTTTATGAACGATGGGAACAATCCAATCGCCTCGGTGTGATGTTCATAAAGACAAATATCTCAGCTAGTATACATAGTTTGGTTGATCAGCATGACAAAGTTCGTAATTTACTAAAAGTCATAGATGATCAATTCATCACTTTGAATGAGGCATTGGCAGGGACCCTAATTATGAAGCTCTTTATTATCAATTTTATTTCTGCAAGTGTACGGACAGTAGCAATTAATACAGTGGACCTAAGAATCTGGATTGTCAATCCCAAGAGGACTATACTCTAACTTAATTCAAATTTTTCCTAACCACAATTTGATGATAACAAATAAAAATTTGTAAGATTTGATTTTTATCTAAATGCGAGAAAATTGGTGAATGCATACACGATTGATTTGAAAATCAAATTATGAATGGAGTTAGGGCAGAATAATTTCACCTATTGATCACCTTTGCACTTCAAATCAAGACTCTTTCCAAATGTAGTGTTTGGTCGAATTCTTCTATTGTATACAATTTACCCATCTCGAGTTCTCATAGATCATATTTAACTAATTAAATTCCATATCTCTATTTAAATCTAACTCAGTTAAACTAGTTCTTCATCCTAGAAATTCAATTATGACCGCAATAATTAGTATATATATCTCTACTCTTTATACCAATTTATCTAATTTTACTACATGGTTTAAATTCTAAACTCATATCTCTATTCGTAAAGAATTCACGAAATCATCAAATTAGTGATCAGATAATTTAATGCATTCAATTCATAGCAAAATAAACACATGGGACAATAAAAACTAAGAATCTTAATAAAAATTATAAAGGATCCCAATTTGTTTACATTATTCACCATAACAATAGATTTAGCTATTTATAGCGAAAGAAGAAAAACAATAAGTTGTCTTAGAATACATCATCGAATTTTGTATTAAAGGTGTATAAGAAAAAGTAGATCTTGCACAAAAAATTTCTTCCTCTTCCAATTGATGCTTTACACGATGAATTTCTTGTTGTTTTCTCCTTTGAATTTCTCCATTGTTTCTCCAATTGTATTCTCTAGCCTCTCAATGTGTGAATCCCCCTCAAAGGTATGAGAATTTTGTATTTATAGATGTCTCCTTATTTGTGTAGAAAGTAGAGATTTTATGGACTTCAAAACGGGCAAAAAACGTACCCCAAACGACCTCGACGCAGTGCCTAAGTGCTAGGAGTCAATGCCTAAGCTCCATGAACAATTCACATGTAGTGCCCAGCGCTGATGATAGCACCTGGGCGCTATGATTGCAGCAACTAGGCACTGCCTTTCTGCTTCAATTCTTTGTTTTTTCACATTTCGTAGTGCCTAGGTGCTATGCGCTATGAGTGCAGGGCCTAAGCACTGCCTTTCTGTTCCAAATTCTTTATTTTTGACTTCTTCGTCCACTTTAGCATCTCTTTTTGCATCACCTTTCCTAATCTTCAAAACAAAACTAACAAACACATTAAAAACATTCTATACTCACAAGATCTAGCAAATAGTCAAGTTAAAATTGTGTAAAACTCGTGAGTAAAACAAACTCATCACTCTCTTCAACTAAGCTCATCACTGTGAGAGGTGTGCACGAACACATCATGCAGATGATGGATATTGTGGCTCAATAGAAGAACCTCGAGGTTGAGATATCGAAATCCTTCCTGGTACACTATATCTTGAATTATCTCTCGCCTCAATATGGGTCTTTCAAGATCTAGTACAACACATATAAAGACAAAGAGTCAATTAATGAACTCATGACCATGTGAGTTCAAAAGGAAGTGAGGCTCATGATAGAACTAGGAGAAAGTGCTATGCTGTTAATGCGAGGAAAGGATAGAGCTCAAGCCAATAAGAATGGGAAAGGTAAAATACCTCTCCAAGCTAACATTAAGAAGGAATCCTTGTGTTTCTTCTGTAAGAAGAAGGGACACGTAAAGAAGGAATGTGCCAAGTTTTAGAAATGGCTTGAGAAGAAAGGGTATGCGAAACCTAAGGAAGCTAGTTGGAAGTAAGCAAGGCATCTATTCACGAAACAAGATGTGTTCACATGTAGAGTCTATTCAAATATGTAGTTTGACTTTAAGTAGGTTTTATTTTAGATTTGGAAAAGACATTTTATATTACAAGTTTCTCTAGAAATTTGATTTCAGTTTCAAAACTTGTACCTTTGGGTTATTTCTTTAATTTTTCGGAATCAACTATCAATTTAGTTTATAAATTTGATCTTGTTGGGAATGGTCTATTGTCTGATAGTCTTTTCTCTCTCAATTTGCAAAAGAACGCCACTTATAATGCTATGCATGTTCACATTGGTATTAAATGATGTGTTATGAATGAGGATTCTAAATTATAGCGTCGAAGATTGGAACATATCTCCATAGAGTGGATTAAGAGATTAGTAAATGATAGCGTACTTAATGCTCTTGATTTTATTGATTTTTAAACTTGTCTAGACTTCATTGGGGGAAAGTAGACTAACAAGTTAAAGAAAGGTGTCAATAGGAGTTTGAACATATTAGAGATCATACATACTGATATATGTAGTCCAGAAATAGATTCACATGGTAAGAGATACTTCATCTCTTTTATAGATGACTACTCACAATACATATATCTCTACCTATTTCATAATAAGAACGAAACATTAGATGGCTTTAAGATTTTTAAGGTTGAAGTAGAGAAACAATGTAGAAAGCAAATTAAGATTGTGAGATCAAATAGAGATGAAGAATATTATGGTAAATATACAGAGGATGGACAGGCACATGGTCCTTTTGCAAAGTTTCTTCAAAAGAATGGGATAATTTCCTAATACACTTGCTTGGTTCACAAGACCATAATGGTGTGGCAAAAATAAGAAATAGAACATTATTGGACATGGTACAGAGCATGCTTAATAGCTTCAATCTTCCTAGATCCTTGTGGACTGAAGCACTGAAGATGGCTGTGTATATACTAAATCGAGTTCTAACTAAGGCGGTCCCAAAGGCACCATTTGAATTATTGAAAGGTAGGAAACTAAGTTTGCGACATTGTTCGTTTGGGCATGCCAGTCTGAAGTAAGAATTTATAATCAACAAGAAAGGAAGCTAGATCCAAGGACAATTAGTGGATATTTCACCGGATATGATGAGAAGTCTAAAGGATACAAATTTTACTGTCCATCTCACAACACTAGGATTGTAGAATCAAGAAATGCAAAATTTCTTGAGAATGACTTGATTAGTGGAAGCGATAAAATCAGAAACATAGTTTCTAAGAATGATCATTCAGGATCTCAACCTTCTACCTCAAGTGATAGACTGGTTATTATACACTGCACCCCTCAAGTACAAATTGGTATTGAACAACCAATTGTTGAATTTCCACAAGCTGCTAACAACATCCCAATAGATCAAGTACTTCAAGAGTTGCCAAGGACTTTTGAACGACTAGTTGAACCACGTTCTTCTCAATAAGACAATGGAATGATATTAAGAAGATCTATTAGTACAAAGAGATCAGCAGTTCCTAATGATTTTGTTGTATATCTACAAGAATTTGACTACAACATTGGAGCCATAAATGATCCTAAGTCTCTTTTCACAAGCCATGAGTTACAAAGAATCAGAATTATAGTACAATGTCATGAAGGAAGAGATGAATTCTATGAAGAGTAACGGAGTATATAGTCTTATTGAGTTGCCTGATTGTGCAAAAACCATTGGATACAAATGGGTCTTTAAGATAAAGAAAGACTCATTGGGCAACATTGAGAGATACAAGGCGAGAATCATTGCTAAGAATTCGCTCAAAAAGAAGGAATTGATAACACTGAGACCTTATCTCTTGTATCTAAGAAAGATTCCTTTAGCATCATTTTGGTATTAGTAGCCCATTTTGACTTAAAATTACAACAAACGGATGTGAAAATGGCATTTCTCAATGAAGATCTAGAAAAGAAGGTTTATATGAAACAACCTAAAGAATTTTCCTCTAATGATGCTGAGCATTTGGTCTGGAAGCTCAAGAAATCCATATACAACTTAAAACAAGCGTCCCATCAATGGTATTTCAAATTTTATGATGTAATTTCTTCATTCAGATTTGTAGAAAACATTATGGATCAATGTATATATACTAGAATGTCAGTAGGAATAAGATTTGTTTTCTTGTTTTATATACGGATGACATTCTACTTGCGAGCAATGATAAGGGTTTGCTACATAACGTGACACAATTTCTCTCTAAAATTTTTGACATATTTCTCTCTCTAAAAATTTTGTCAAAAATTTTGACATAAAAGAAATGGGAGAGATATCTTATGTCATTGGCATTAAGATCAATAGAGACAGATTTAAAGGCATTTTAGGTTCGTTTCAAGAAACCTATATTAATAAAGTTTTAGAAAGATTTTGAATGAAGGATTGTTCACCAAGTGTAGCTTCCGTTGTTAAAGGTGATAGATTCAATTTGAATCAATGCCCAAAAAATGATTTTGAAAGGAAACAAATGAAGAACATTCCACATACTTCTACTGTTGGAAGTTTGATGTGTAACGTAAGCAATTCGGATGTTGATAGAATACCTGCCATCATGTCCTAATTCTCAATTGCCTCTTGCTGGGTTAAAGCAAAAACTCTAGCTGGTCCCTTTTTGCTTTGATCATTGTCCCTCTTTGGTGAGGGTTCCTGACAATTGGTAGCAATATGACCCTGCTTTCCACATTGAAAACATACATTCTTTCCATGCAAACACTCGCCTCTACGAGCCTTATTGCACTTAGGACAATGAGTAAGAACATTATTCGGCTTGCTGGACCCTGATTGCCTTTCAAAGCTAGCCCTCTTATTTTGTCCATTTCTTTTACCTTCGTTCGGCCCATTCCATTTCCTCTTTCCTGAAAATTCAATACTTTCTTGAGTTGTCTGATCAAGTTCTAGTTGATTTGAAATTGCTTGAGCTCGTTGTAGAACCTGACTGGACGTGGTGAATTCATGGGATGCTATGATTCCTCCAATTTCTGGGCGCAATCTGAGTTTAAACCTTCTAGCTTTCTTTTGCTTTATATCCACTAGACGTGTTGTATACCTAGAAATTTGTTTGAACTTCCTCTCATAATCAACCAATGCCATTTTCCCTACTTAAGTTGCAGAAACTTTGTCTCTTTACGATCTCTCAAGAATTGTGAAAAATATTTTCCCATCATCTCCTCTTTGAAAGGTTTTATGTGTAGAGTTCATGCTACTTAGTGCAAGAGAGATGCTTGAAGATCCGTTAAAGGTAGAGGCTTGTAATGAGGAAATTGTTCCACGATTGAGCTCGTAGTGTTGGAGTTAGTATGTGCATTTTGAGAAGGCACTTGTGTTTGCTGCCTACCAAGATCTTGCACATCTCTCAACAAATCCCTAAACATAGCAGCTTCTATTGGTTGATGTGCCATTTCCTTTAAATTAGCCAAATAAATTTCATTTTAGAAATAGTCAATGACAGCTCTATATATTAGAATGGAAAAACGCAATTTCATAAAATTTTAAATCTTAGAATACATGAGGAACGATTGAAAGAAGAAAAACCTATAGATTATTTCAAGTACTGATTACATTTTTTTAGGGAGGGAAGAAATTATTTACTTAAACTAAATTATCTCTGGGTTGCTAGTCTTTATCTTTTCTCGTCCAAACATTTTGAATCCTACAAAGCTTAGATGAAGAGGCTTCATCATCCAAAGATATACATGACTCAGGCTTAGATTCCTGGTCAACCTCTAGCTCAGGGTCTAGTACGTATCCTAGCGACTGCTGTGGTTCTAGTTCTGGCTCTGGTCCTAGTACATACTCCTGCTCGTTCTCTGAATTAGATTCATAATTTGGCTCCTCTTCTGGGTCTTCCTCTGGGTGCTCCTCTAGCTCGAGTTCGAGCTCGGGCTCAGGCTCGAGAGTAGAAATCCACCTATCTAGAAAAGTTTCACAATAAAGTTCAAACTCCATCTTTTCTGGATGCTCTGGAGGGTTACCCTCTAACATTTCATCCCTAACCAAAATACTCATGTCTCCCCACTAAGGTGGCAATATATGGATAAAATTGTTAACAACTTGAAGGGATATAACCCCATGTCCTACACCCCTTGCCGTAGCCCACCTCACGAAGACTTCTTCCACATGCTCAATAAGTGTGAGTCAGGTCTGCCTCATAATTCTCGTAGGCTTGGATAACTGCTGCCCTGTGGTTTAGAACACTCTTGCAAGCGGTTTCTCTAGTTCTAGCCATGACTCTCACATACAAACCTAGTCCAATTATGCTTAATATTTTATTAGTGGTAACACATTGCCTTTTATGCTCGCATAACTCATTATAAGGATAAGATAAAAGATTATGCTTTTATTAAAATGATTAAGTTGATTAAAAGCATGCAGGAAACATTTCATAGGTTGAAGCAAAATAAATATCATGCTCACAATTCATACTAGAACATTTCATTTCATTTCATTTCATTTCTCAATTTAAATATAAGAATGTATATCTCATGATCAAAATTAAAAACATATCATGTAATACATTCGGTCTCTCAAATGGTAGTTGATTGGTGAATACTAGATGCCAAGAGCCTTGTTATAATTCTTGTTTCTCAAAATGTTTATCAAAATTTTCATTTCTTGCTAATGTGCTTGCCAATACGTGAACACGGAAAAATTGATGAAGCTTTGTACTTTGACTTTTATGCATAGATAATGGAACATAAAAGAGGCAGCTGGGACATTTTAATATTGACTTGCAAAATTTGAAAATTTAAAGGATAATTACGTGAACGTATGACAGTGGGAGAAGTCATTAAATTCCAAGTTCACCTCCATAGGCATAGAAATTTGACAGAAGTCAATCGAGCCAGTTATTTATTTACTAAAACTTTCAGCAGAAGTTACCACACAATAATAAAATATTTCATTTTATTTTCACAAATATTCTTTTACGAATACAAAAATAATATATTTTTATCTACTTTATGAACTTAATTGTAGAAATATTTCTTACTCAAAATAATTACGTTAATTAAGTCAGCAAATTATTATGACATGAAAGGCATACACATTAGTGTTAATTAAATTTAAGTGCATATTCATCATTTTGATTGCTATTTACTATTTAATACAATATAGTTTTAAACCAATTATATGCAATTAAAATTCATGCTACAATAAAATTGCATACACGAACATATAATACATATATATACATCCTTGAAAATAAAATCATAGAAATAACACATAAGTACAATTAGAACTATGTATAACGACATTGTAGTATTAAATTAATATTTACTTAAAAGCAATTATGGGCTAACATTGGAACAGTTCGTTTCAAAATATTAAGTTAAGGCACATAATCCCAAAAAAATCTTACAAATCAACTTTTTTCACTACTCTAGCGTCACTACTCACGGATGAACAGTGACTTTCCAATTTTTTTTTTTTTTTTTTTCAAACTAAGGAAAAATCAATAACAGCGGTCATTAAAATTTCTTAAAATAAGATTTTCTCAAAATAGAAGTTTCTAAAAAATAGGATTTTCTTAAATTTAGAATGGTCCGAAATATTGTCTTTCGTCTTATTGATTCGAATAACACGCAACCAAAATGTTTCCAGATGAGGAGGAGGGTCACAAGTGAACCGCTTAAATCCCAAACTCATTTTAGACAGTATAGATCTTTTTGACAAAACCCTTCAATCTTGCGAATACTCAGATTAAGAAAACTCAAACAATAAGTGGGAAAAAGATATTTCTTAAAAAAAAAAAAATTTGGTCTACAAGAAAATAATCCTTTGCTTTGATACCAAACTATAACTCCCCAAGTAAAATAGGAATTCAAAACTTATTTCCTTTTGGTCCACAATTTTTCAAAATATAACAATATAACAAACAATAATTTTATTCTAAAATTTTCGGGGTGTTACATGACGTATGCTCAAGTCTACACAAGACCTGACATTATATTTGTTGTGAGAATGTTGAGAAAATATCAAAATAATCTAAGTATGGACCACTGGAAAGTTGCAAAGAAAGTAATAATGTACCTTCAAGGAACAAAAGGCTACAAGCTTATATATAAACGAACGAACAATTAATTTGGAAGTAATTGGTTACTCAGATTCGGACTTTGCTGGCTGTCTTGATTCACACAAATCAATATCAGGATACATCTTTCTGATGGCTGATGGGGCTGTATTTTGGAAGAGTGCTGAGCAGACCTTGACTGCTACTTCCACTATGGAAGTTGAGTTCGTTTCTTATTTTGAGGTTCCTTCACATGGTGTATGACTAAAGAGTTTCATATCTAGGCTTAGAATCATAGATTCTATTTCTAGGCCATTGAGAATATATTGCGACAATTCAGCTATTGTCTTTATGGCTAAGAATAACAAAAATCGAAGTCGAAGTAAGCACATCAACATCAAGTATTTGACCATAAGGAAACGTATTAAGGAAAAGAAAGTTGTCATTGAGAACATCAGTACTGATTTGATGATCGCTGATCCTTTGACTAAGAGCATGCCACCGTTGAAATTCAAGCATCATGTTGTGTTAATGGGACTTGGTTCCATTATGTAATTTTTCATTGTCTGAATAATGTTATTTTAATGAAATTCTTATTTATAGTGACATTTTCTCATATTCATGCGCACTTTAATTTATTTAAGAAAATGTATCTTTATAGGACCAAAATTAAACATAAGGTTTATTCATCAAGTAAAAGTTCCCACATAAAGAGTAATGTTTCGAAAATTAGATACATTGTAATACATGGAATATAATAACCATTATTAGAAAATTTATCGTCATGATTCATGTATTTGTTTCTTAAGGGTTATATTGAATGTGATTAAGTTAAGAGATTGGGTTAAACATGTGGACCAAGTATGAAAATGTTGGAATTTCCAGTTAAAAGAGTCCCAAATCATCGGGAACAAATTTGGAAACTCCATGATTGATGGTCCTCGTTGAACCAATCTTGCCCCATTCCATTTCTTGTCCTGATTTTCTGGCGACATTAAAGGTCTAGCCATAGAGAGTTTGATGAAAACTCGGGTATAAATTCCCATTTTGGTCCCCAAGCTCCACACCCGAAATACAGTACACATCATCAATAAAGTATGTTGAGAACTTGGAAGAACCATTACATGGAGCAAAGAAGTTTTCTAAGATATATCAATGACCGAAGGTACAATTTTCGATCTGCAAGATTTTTTAATTCTCGATCCAATTTGTTTTCGCATACTTGTTTTGGATGGAGTTTGAGTCTTTTAGTTCAATAATGTATTGACATGTGTCCCATTTGTCAATGAGTCTGTCACTATAGCAAGATTGTGTTATGTAAATAGTGCACGACGTAGATCCTAAGCTTTTGGGTGGAGGTCCTGAGCAAGATTTGCATATATAGTAGGGCTCACAAAGGCTAGGTAATTTGCACTTTAAGTTCTCAAATTTTAACCTTTGTCATTTCAGCCTGTCAACTTTTAAGTTCACCTATTTAGGTCCTCCAACTTTTGAACATAATGATGTCCATCAGCTTCTGTACTCCTCCACTTTGGTCCTCGAACTTATGAAAATATCCATTTAGCTTCCAATGCTTCTAATCAGGTCCTCACACTTTCCTACAATCACGAAATTCCATCACTTGACTCCAAGTAAGCACCAATTCTCTTCATTTTGCATGATTTATATCTAAATTTGGGATTTTACCTACGAAAGCAATATATATAAACTAAAATGAGAAATTCTACTGAAATTAATCAATTTTAAGAAAATCTAAGAGCCTAGATAAGTATGTTATCAGCCATCAATATGGTAAAAAGAGGAGTTGGACGGAACAACGAGTGTGCAACGTGGAAGTTGGGACATGTGCTGATTTTTTGAAATGTTGACCTCGAAAATTGGAGCTTCTACATGGCCAACCAATAACTACTCCACGTATTCCTCCCTGCACACAATTAACGCACCGTCAGACACACACGACCGGGACCAGTGGGGGTGGCGGTGGCCACATACACTCCGACGGTCAAGTCAGGTTCAGGTGGTCGAAATAGTACTAGAGGTTGTGTCAAAAACACTAAGGGGGAGAAGAAAATATATAAACTTG